CGTGTACCAAATATGTTTAGGACGAGGAGAAAGGCGCAGTAAACGAAACATAACCATTCGTGACCTCACGAGTCAAAACATGCATATGGCCTGTTCACAACTGGTCAGCTTGTAGCACGTACACTATGGACCAGTGGTCAGTGACATTTATTGTCCATTAATGACCAATTATACACAGTTTGATTTGCACAGATGATAAATGGGAGAGTTTGTAAAATAAACAGGCGAGATTGACATCTGCCCCGCTTGACCATGGCAGGACAATGTGACGTGAACATAAAAACAGGTATCAGTCAATATGGCCGCCCGGGAGCTATTAACAGCTTGACCGTTTGTTTATAGATATATTTATTGTGCTTTTTATCCCTATAACAATGTATATCAATGACACGTAACGGAATAAAGGGATTATTGCAGATTTTTGTTTGTTCGTTTTTCAATATCTTAGACATGATAATCCGCTACTTTTATTTTACAAATGGTCGCAAGCTAACAACTCATTGATGACCTATGTGTTGTTTTACATTACGGGTCTCTCCTAAGTCGAAGAAGCTTACAACCATGTAGATATCAAACTTAAAATATTGTAAATACTTCTAGTTAACCCAGAGATATCACAACAGCATTACAAAATACCAAGACACTGTCACCGCCTCTTACAGCAGCAGGGATAGTGATGCACTGGATGGTTACTATTGCCAATCCAATGGAGTCACTTTGACCATTTTGACCGAGAGAAGTGCATTACCCTCCCCGAACCCACCCCCGTTTGAAATAATAGTATGTACATGAGCTAAACTATCAGTGTAATACATTTGAACATATTTAACTTACTAATGGTAGGTAAATGTAGCAACCCCGTTGGCGAAATTTTGCACGTGTTCGAACTCTTGAATCACTTAGCGATGGCCGGACTTGACCATTAGGTTTACGGTATAGGTTTGCTTTTGTTTTCCTATCAGTCCTGTCAATTACTGAGAGTAAACGACCCCCTATTAAACTCCCTCCCGCGGTTACAGCCACGACCGCGCGATTGTTGGTATAAGTAATGAATTAACGCTATCTCTTCTGGAAGTCTATCAACAAATTCTGGTGTGCAGATGCGCGCAAATAATTTCTCAATTACTGACCATGGCAAGGAGAGTATTCCGTGACACGGCAGCTGTCTATAATGGTCAATTGTAGGGCAGTCTATCGACCCCGACAACACCGGACGCCATGATAGTTCGCTGCACGTGCATGGCTACGTCACAAGTCACGGGATGTTCGGCACAAACAAAGCCCGCTTCGCAGCTGCATATTCATTAAGTAATTACCCCATGACACAGGATGACACGGGAAATAGCCACTCTGTTCAGACCACGTGCGTTTATAGAGCTTTCTTCAAAATATTGGTAACCAGAGGTGTTGGAGAATCAATCGGGAACTTCTGACTTTTTCCCACAAATGTCAAAACAAACGAAAGGATGAATCTTTTTGAATTTTGATATTTGAGGTAGATCAAACTAGATGTGAAAACAACACGTTTGATTTCTAATGGATGAGTTCTGTACAAGAAACATGCACACGTCCCATACAATTTTATACATTTGTTTTATTATTAAAAACGATAGAACCGTGCTGAACGTTCTGTGGTCCTAACCGCGAGTTTTGGTTACATGATACACTGTAAGATACTTTACAATAAAGAACTTAAATTTCATTTCTACACCTATTAAGGGAGAAATGCATTTCTCAAGTGTGAAAGCATAGTGTATTGCTTATGGTTGTTCTGGTGAACAAGAGCTGATCGTAAAATAGAATTAAGGAGGTAATGGGTGACAGTGTGTGTCGTTAGCAAGGTTTTATTCTTTTTCCTTCTGCGGGTTCGGGACGGTGGGGTTAATTATTTTGTGGGGATTTCGACTTTTTTCATTCGCAACTGTATTTTTGTTTGAAATGGGTTTACATGTTTCTGCTCCGAGATTATAACGTTGTTTGTTTTTTAAGCGGAACAAGGAAAACAAATATAGACTACGCGTTTAAATATACAGATCAGGAATATTGTAAAAACCTTGAAACTTATTTGTTGAACTTTGACAATTACTCAATCCTGAGACACTTAAACTCATGTCTGATCCACTCCCGACTTTTGTTTTAAACAAATAAAAAGGTTGAGCGAAAATTCGACAGAAATATATTATCAAATGACACATCTTGGATTGATAAATAGATCAAACAGTCTGATAAAATTGTGTATGTTACTTCTTGGTATACAAGTAATACGACGCCATTGCTGGGATTTATTTGTTGACACGCGAAGATGTAACATCGCTATGTTGTTCAAGAGTTGCTTTGTGATGGTTGTTTATCCAGTCGGAATATGGACTGGCCTTGTTTTTACAGGTGGGGTGTGAACCAAGATCTATACCCCCAACTACCACTGACCGGGAGTCGGTATCGATAGACGCCACTCAATGGAAGCATGTGCGCTGTATTTCTTTAATTTTACAAAAAAAAGGGGAGGGGCTGGTGATGACTAATAACTAATTGTTTATTATAAAACCTCAAAAGTCAGTTTATATCTAAGTTATTATTAGGACGTGGAAAGGGGCGACACCACAAAACAGCTAACATACAAACTAATCTAGTTGTTAGACTCTTAGTTTTTACTACTAGCCTATGCCCCCTAGTTTTTACTACTAGCCTATGTCCCCTAGTTTCATACATCCAAGTGATACAAATTATTAGAATCTATTTTTTTTCCTAAAAACTTCAATGTTGTAGAGACGGAGGCTAGTCTAGTTATAACATTTTTGATTGGATCGTTTTGATCTTTATTCATCTGTTTATTTATATTTTGTGTTGCTTCATCAATATATACAGAAATAACCTATCATGCAAGCTTTTAATAGAGAGAGAAAAATTTAACTGTTTGTGACATTTCCCCTTTCTGTGCGGACCTCAGTTCTATTAGCATTGTAAACCTTGCGCTACTCGGACAGGCCGAAAGTCCCGAGTGAGTGTTCCCTCCACGTGGAATAAAGAAACATTTGTCTGATTGACGTGTAAACATAGTGTCAGATAGATCACTTCCCATGTGGAGAAAAAATCTTAAATGAGGCACAATGGAAAATTTGGTTCACAGGCAAAACTATATATGGTCTAGTCTGGCGTTTGACAGATACCCATTTAATTAACCCTTTCAGATCCACATGTTTTTCAAATATTTAAATACCAAAAATAAAATATCTATATTATATGAATTACTTTGTCGCAGTTGCAAATCTAGTACAGGTTCAAAATAATAAGATTGCAGTAATGCCAAGTACTTGCAGAACAACAGGTTACTTCTCATCTCCTTATGTAACGACAGATGATACCGCCTATGTCATCGGAATTCCGTATTAGAATAAAAATCTATTTCCAATAAAATCATAAAATGTTGATGTCATCGGAAACATTCAACAGGTAGGAGTGTTATTAACAACTCCCTCCGGTAAATCTGTCTACGACACAATTTACTGTCACGCATTTCTATTTTAGTGGACCCTTGATGTGATGGTTGTTATCGACAGGATGTAGTAATCAGGCTGAAACTTGACGTGGGCGACCAGGGAGTCGCCTAATGAGCAGTCAATGTACACTCATACAGGTTTTTTGTTGACAAATATATTATGCTAGTTATATAATGATGACGTTTGATTAGGTAAATGTTTCCAATACAAGCACATTTTACCATTATTGCATTTTTTTCATTCGATGTTTTGCAGTTGAACACCTAACCTAGTCAGTCCTCTTACAACTTTCTGTCCATTGGAGGGAGAGTGGTGGAGGAAAGTAGCGATAATGGGGGAAAGTAGCTGCACTAATCAAGATGTTTTCATGTCGTAATTTCTCCGAAACATACAAATATATTTACATGTACTTACAACGAGTTTTGTTGGTTTTCGAAGAAGGGGAAACAGTATAATATGCGCCAGTTAATGTTTTACGTCGAGCCCCTGGAAGTTTTTTGCGTGTGGTTTACGTGGTAAATGTTCCGGTGTTATATTTCATATCAGCTGTCAAATCACCCTTTATCGCCTCGTTAGTGTAACGTATGAGCTTCGCGAACAATTTCTATTGAAAAGCTTTTTGGGCCTTTCTGGCACGCTAACGAGGCTCGGGCATATGGCTTTAACCTTCATTTTTCAGTTTATTACACTTCGATTGACACTTTTAATAGCCAAGAACATTACATAACAGAAGTATTTAAAAAAAAATATGGGCAGAGTGTTGTCATATTCCCCAGCTTTGTCGCGTGTAATGTACAAGGTAGCTATCGAGGAGGTGTGCTATCCACGGCCACTTGACACTATCGTAGTGGTGGGGGAAATCTTATTACGTTAAGTAATGTGAACATAACCAAGTAATATTCTAATAAATTGTTCCCGGCGGTGGAAACGACGATTTTGGTGATTGTTAATGAGATGTTAATGTGTTTTACTTTTATCAGAAAACTGATCGCTGGAATGGTTTATCAGCTTTTAGTTTCGGATCAAAATCGTGAACTGTTCAATGGTAGCTGCAGTAGATCCCTAGTACTATGGACCGTTTTGGGTACAATTATTCCATACTATCGTTATAGCAACCTTGGTCAACTTTATTAGATCGATGCTGCACCGTTATTCAAGACAGTAGCAGACATTGTAAATAGCAAAACACTTTCAGAATTACGTATATCAATGTTTAAGAACCTTAAATTGATAGCCTGTAAATAATAGGGTCTGTGATAGAAAATCATCGTTTTTGGTGTTTATCAGGATCCATAGTTTTGTACCAATTCAACCAAGTAGTCAGTCGTAACAATAGTGAACATTGGAAATCATAGACCAAGTTCCGATCCCTTGTTTGGGATTGTTTAACATAGTATGTTTGGATTGCTTTACGACCAATCGTTAGGACGTAGCCTGTTCCAAAGGAACATGAATTATTTTACGTGGTGGTTAAAGTTATAATTAACAACAAGAAGCCATGTGTATATAGAAACGTATAAACAATTTAATATGAATTTTCTTTTTAAAATTTGAACTCGACAACAACAAATTATAAAACAAAACATAACTGAAGAAAAAAATATCCACTGGTATGCATCCTTGTATTTGTTCGGTGGTAAAGTTTGTGCTTTTGTAACTACTAATCGGTGGGTTACGTTCGCAAAGTTTACATACATCACATGTACATAGATCTATATACACCCTGTACAAAAGTACAGTGATCCTAGTGTCTGGACAAAGTCACAGGACAACGAGTGTCCATTCACGATTGTCTCCGCTAAAACTTCCTCTTTTTCTTCCATATTTAATGAAAACATCGGCAAAAGTTCTCCTTTTCCATGTGTACAACACTTCCATAGTTCTGATGTATATTCAAGAGATTGGTAATTAGAATACAGTTCTGTTTACTCTGTGCAAGATAGAACCACGTTATTCCGGCTCCATAGTATTCCAACTTCATGAAATTCCGTGTAAAAAAATACAACACAATGTTCCAACTCAAAAATTACACCAAATTAAAATCATGATGGATGTCCATTGAAACTGAACATCCAAATCATAACTGTCTGATGAACCAGGGCGTCTGTAGTCCTTGTGTAGTCTGCTACAGTCCGATCGCCATTGCACGCGCTTTCGCCGTTGCCTAGTAACGGATGCTTCGGCAGTTGACGGCGTTACTGTCGCCCTTTGGGGTTCATCCCGTGTGTGACGTCACATCGGATGGACAGCATCCCCTGGATAATTGGTATCCGATTTCTACGTCACAGCCTACAACAACACAAATAAATAGACATTGAGTACATTTTGTTTTAAAAAATAAGTTTAATTTATGACAATTAAAATGGAATGATCATTTACTGTTCCAGTGAAATATTGAAATTATTATAGAAACTTTCTCCTGTACGATGTCAAGTTCAACCAAGTTCAGAATTTCTAGAGAAAGCACAAGTAATTTTTCATGAAAAATAATTACACATAAATCTGTGTGAACATTTGCTGTTGACTTTGATGGGTAAACGTCGAGTGATTCCCATGGCCACCCACTTAAACCCAGTGCAGCGAGCTCGTGTACTGGAATGCTACGCGGTCTGAACACCTGTTCACTATCTATGACGGCCCAGTCGAGTAGGCGCCAGTAAGTCTGGTCCGTCTCGACCAAGCATTCCAGCTATTCTCCACTGTAACTTTTCAAAATACAGGTGCAAGACTTAATTAGAGACCCCTAGCATCACGTGCGCACACGGTAGATATAGGATTGGGTTTAATTAATCTCACCTGTCGAGAATTTCCACATGTGGACTGGTCTGTGGAAGGATCGTCTATTTCGACACATCGCTCATCGGACAAATCTGTCAAAAAAATAATTTCATACTTATAGAATCATATTTCGTAGGGTTATGAACGGTTGATTATCAGTATTGTCCATTGTTACATACAACATGTAAGGACTACATTACCATGATTTATTCAGTACGCTGATTAGCGAACACCTGTGGTAAATCGATCGACGATGCCCTTCTGACGTAAACAACGCTGATGAACATGACAACAGTGGCAATTACACTGTATACACTTTATAAATAAAAAGTCAAATAAATGTTAATTTAACATGAGTGATATTTTAGAAAACATAAGTTTGAAGACTACTTTCGACAACACAAACATTATTTTGACTTCAATTTAAGAAATGTAAATAATTAGAAGTCTTACCTCGTTTAGAACTGTGTTGGGTTGTGCCTTCTCACTAAGAGGTGAACGGCAGCTCGTGGGTGTCAGGCTCCCCAGTACAGTCGGCACTTCCAGAGCAAGTTCTAAGTCCAAAATGTAATCAATCACGTGCTGAAGAAGCTGTGTTTTTGACACTTTCTTGTTCTGGGGTAGCGACGGCACCAAGTCCTTCAGTTTGGTGAAACACTCTGTCATCTCAGCTGATGTTTCGTCCATCTTCGGTTTGAAGATTCTGGAGTCCTGACGGATTCCAAGCTCAACCGCTGGTCTCATGCAAGCTTGTGTAACGGCCTTCATAATGTATCCACGACAAAATCAATAAACAGGAGAGAATTCCTTTGGCTTGTTATAACGTACGTGTGCTTTGAGAGTTACAGGCAGAATGGTGAAACGAGGAACTCCACTCGATATATAAACGTAGCCGTGTGGGGTTAGTTATGCTCATGTGTACAATTGTAGCGAGTTAAGCCCCGCCCACCGATCGATTACTTCCCAGACACGTGAGTGGTTGTTATAATGTGAGTGACAAGTGAGAAGCACATCTAGGCCAATCGGGGTTTCTGACGTTATAATAGCATGACGGGCTACGCCCCTGGGCTGGATAGCACTAATCCACCAGCTCTAATGATTACTGCTCAACTGAGGGGTGTTTACACAGACAAGAGGGTTGTAAAAACATTTTACTACAGAAAAATCGTAATCACTTCTAAAAATATCGGAGTGAAACCTTTTACGATAAGACGTACCAAAAACTACCATATAAACACTAGTTTGAACAAGAAGTTACTTTAAAGATTTAAGAAAAGTTCAGTTAGTTTCTTGACAGGTAACGCTATTTGACAGGTGATAAATTGACACGCCGGGACCCGCAATCCCCCCCCAAAATCCGTCCCGACGGTCTGGCGCCGGGTTGTGACGTCACCCATTCATACAGTGGGGCCTGCTATCGTATCGGCGCCAGGCGGACTGAGTATAACACTGTGCTGTGCCAATCAAGTCGTACTTCAAAGCTACCGCCTAGCTTCGGCTGATAAATTGCATTAAAATTCGTCACCTTCGCCCTAAAGATACTTCACACAAGCACACCTGCAAAATTTGCATATATTTATATACAGTGGGAAGTATTTCAGTTAGATATCGCTGGCGCCAGACATCTTCTCGAGATTAACAAAAATAAATACTCGAGTAGAGTGGGGGTATTCAGGTTTATCGGAATGTGTTTCTACAGGTATTCCAGTACAGCGTTTTTGTTCATATTTTAAATCTGGATATACTTTTCTCAATGATATAGACATGATGTGTCATTAAATATAAACTTGTCTGTGATTTTAAAAAGTTTTTTTTTATCTCAATAATAATTCTTTTAAATAACTAAGATAAGTTGATTCATCAAATTAAACGTGTTCGTATTTTAGGTATTTTCATATGCCTTGGAAATCCCACAGACTAGGAGATACACAAGTCTGAATATATTTTCCCACAAGCAATTGACAGGTGCACAATTTAATTACATACTAAAATAAAAAATATATTTACCAGATGCAATTAAACCCTAGGCGAATGTTTATGGATGCGCAGTATTTACAATGAAATACACATTTTATAGAAGAAGAAAAAAACAAATGATTTTATGCAAATGATTTAATGTGCAAATCATTTTAAATATGTATGGCTCTTAAATTTCAGTTTACGTACAAACATGAAATGTATTTATTTCCGGTGTCTGAGTTGCTTATGAATCCTCAACTTGGATTAAATTGAACTGATTTGCATTTTAATGTCTTTTTAAATTATAATGAACTTTTAACGATATAAAATGGTCAAACAAACACTGTCAGCTACAGATAAATGTAAAGTCGTTGATAATCGCCATCAACAATGTAAATGCTTCATTTTAATAAAAGCAATTTTAAAACAAATTTGACATAGTTGCCTAATTACCTATTTATTTTCCATGACTTGACATCCAAAAAACCTCTGTTTGATCGGCGTCTAAAACAATAAAAGTCCAAACAAGGAAACATTACGTACACTTTCGTGTCGCGATGCGTTGGGCACAGATTTTACGGTATTCTAATATAATCATGATGAAATTTAAACAACAAAGAATAAAATATTGATTTATCGCTTAACCTTTTTATTTATGTTTGATCTCCTCTGAGAGTTGTATAGTTTATCAGCACTAAGGACAGTTTGAGTACACCTATAGTATTCCTGCCTCTTAAATCAGTTTATCAATTAATGGTCCTTACACGTCTATAGTGTGGAGGTGAACGGTGTCTGGCTGCTCATTTCTCATTTTGTTCACACTATTCGATGATTTTTCATATTTTCTGCCCAATAGTGTAATTCAATAGTCATGAAATATTGTACCACAAACACTGAAGAATAAAATTAAAGACATTTTGAATTGTATAAGCATATATTTGAGAAACAATATAAATACCATCCAATTTATACTCATACCGACATCAAATAAGGTATATTTCATCGTAATTGTAACCCAGATCTTTCGCTTGTCAGCCATCGACATTAAACACCTATAAATAGGGGCATTTACAAAAGAATTTCAAAAATCAAGCTAGAAAAAATGAAACATCATGTGTTAATTTGCCATTGATTATTCGATAAAAAATAGTGCGGTCGAAGAAATTCCTTTATTGTAAAACATATCGCCATTAGCATAATTAATTGATCAGTGTCAGCAACCAGGGGTTAATATATATCACACATATACTGTCAAAAATCTACCTGAATAGAAAGTAAACATTGTGTTCATTTTTCTCATGTCGAGATAAATAATCGATGGTATTTAATAATATTATATATGAAAGCTCCGCCTTGTTCTTTACTTAACGTTAACATGGGGATAATTATGAAAATCAATTATTTCGCGTGTCATTTTTATCATCTCTTACCGACAAATACGATTTAATAACTGTGTTTCTTCAGAGTGTGAGGAAAGACAGAAATATATTTAAGTCTGTAACATAATTTTAGTTTGATGGAAGTGAAATATGCTGACAATTTATAGGTAGACCATTCGAAACAAACCAAATACGTCAGAGTTTAGGCGATATTTTTCCAACTACAACCGAAATAGGCAATAATATAACTTACAATCCTAGTTTGGCAACTTTATCAATCTATGCCAGAGTTCGGTTACATCAGAAACAGGCAAACATTTCTAACCACGAGCAGACACAGCTATTTTTTTCGTCCAAATTAGGGTAGGCCAATTTTTGTTTCTTTAGAATTTCACACATAATATGTCATCAAATTATGTCGTACTTTTCCAGACCAATTTTGTAATATGAATTCCAAAAATAATGACATCATAACTCCAAATGACACCAAAACTATTTGATTTAATGCCTTTTCATCACCATCGCAGATTCAATAAAATAGAACCATTGTCATAATAAGATTCGTCACGTGACAAGTCAAACCAATGCTAAAAGAGGAACCGGAAGTCAATTTCTAAACCGAGGAAACTGAAACCGACATAGCTAACACCCGCAAGATAATCGTGATCGCAGAGACCGATACTGGGCCACGAAACCATATTAAGATCACATCTCAAGGACACAAACTCAGGCTAATTGTAGGAAAGTGGAGCCCATACTACACCACCATCAGATTTGACACCGCCTCAGAGTTGTAGCCAGATGCGGGTCTGCTTTTCATTGTCGAGTCCACCACGCAAGGATCGTGGCGCCGACTTCTCTAAAAACACAGTTTAACGAATGTCCATGTTTTTGCCATCAGCTGCACATACAGAATGTTTTCACATCTGGGCGTCACTATTATACAGGGGCTGAGAGTGACATCATACACTTCTGTAACCGTCATTCAGACCGTCATTACCGCTATAACGCTTACACAAAATAACANAAACCCCCCCCCCCCCCCCCCCCCCATCAAAACCTTCAAACCTCAGCAGACAATGTATCTTCTCTTTAATTCTAAACCATATTTAGTGTTTAAGCTACAAATGTAAACAATTACCACACGCTCGGGATTTCTTTTTGATGTAAATTTTCCCCTTAAGTTAGTAGATACAGCTGGTTGGAGGGAAGTGTCATTTTAGTCAAAACTGCGCAAAGATTTTAATTAAGTCAGTGATGTTAGAAAATATTCCGAGTCCGAGTTGTCTAAAAACATTACTGTGAAATCGGTAAAAAAAAGTAAAAAATCTCTTAAATGAAAAATCTTGCTTACAGCCAAATCCAAACTTAGCAGGATAATGTATTTTTGTAACCAGTATAAATGGTTGGTGAAAGCTTTGCCAACTGGTTCATTGGCTTTAATTAGGTTTTTGGAAGATTTCGGATACAGATGTTGTAATGTCTGTCGGTGTTAGCTCCCACAAACTCTCGTGAGGCACTGGACAGCTGTCCACAACCTTTATCTGCCCCTTGGATTTCTGGGCGCGTTCGATTCGTGTCCATATGTCCATAGTAGAACAAAGACGGGTACAGAGGAAGACCGCATCTGTTCTAGATATTCCCACATGGGTCTTGTTGGTTTTTATCTTAGAATACACACAGCCGAGCCAAGAGGAACTACGGCATATCGACGGCCAGCTCTCGTATACATCACAGGCATTTTAAATATATCCAGGAAGATCTAATAAAAATGTAAATCCGGTCTGAGTAGGGTATCCATGGAGTGGTGAAACTCTCCAGCATTGTACAGCGCTCTGGAGCTCGGCGCGTGTCAAAGTGTGCTTCGTGGATAGTACGCGTGGTCTTTGTATTAAATATCGGTGGTAGGTGGGTTCAGAGAGCTACACCTATTGTTGGGATGATAGCTTGATTGCGCTCGGTAAAGACAGTCGCGTGCCAGCTACGCCACTCTCAGGTGTCGACCAATCAGAGCGCACAACGTCACGACACGGTAGCTGCTTCCATAGGCCGCTCGGTGCAAAAACGTAAACAGTGGAGTAAATTTCTCCTCTCGCACACGAATCCTGATAACGTTACGATAGAATTGCTACTGTCTCGCGGCGTTTTCAAACAAAAAAGGAATTTCTACATATTTAAGGATGCATTGCACAGAGGTAATACATTTCAAAGTAAATAGACTTTATACAATTTTGATTAGACTTTAAAAGGAAACGTTTAATATGGAAGGATGGTTTAAAAAGAAAGGATACTCAAAAATACGTAATTGAAGCAGGAGAATTAAGTGAACGTAAAGAAGGATCTAATTGTAAGTTTGTTGTTGCCATACTGGTATGTTTATATTGTCGAAGTCCCTTCTCTACAATTACCGACCATTAGGTATGACGTCATGAATGCAGACTTGACACCAAAAGGCGCCATTTTATGTTAATGTGATGCTTGGTAATCGGATTCAAATAAAACTAAGAACAGCTTTAAATCCATCGCGTGGTTATGATTGACTTATTTACAAAGCTTATGTGTGACGGTATTTGACGAATAGGTCTACCTTGGCGTATTCACATTTGTTGGTTATATGGAATGAATCGGCGTATTTACTAATCTTTCTGAAAGGGCATGTTCATGGTTTCATGTAAAAAAGAAATTATTACCTTTTCATTCATATCTTTATTCCTCCATAATTGAAGGGTTACATAAATACATGTATGCATAATGAATAATTAGTGAATAAGTACAGAAATACGTGCAAAAATAATTTATGTGACAAATAACAAAAGTAGAATTAATTCATTGACAAAAAATGTGCTGCATATAAAGTTAATCGAGGAAAAGAGAAGTAACAAAAAACATAAAATAAAATATCAAATATATGCTACATTACAAAACACTTTAACTTTTTAACAACGTAGAAGTAGTATGATATGTTCAGGATTGCAGTGAATATTATTGAAATGTTAAATCT